AGAGGAAATTGCCTGAATACACAAATAATCAGAACCAATAACAAGGGAAAATACTAAAACAAACCCTACCTATACAAAGCCTGCAAGAAAAGAAAAAAAAGACTTACATTAACAAAAACCAACAGTGCTCAATGCCGATAGAATAAAGGAATTCAAAATGGGAAAACCAATCCAAGAGAGACACAACGGCAACCAGGAATGCAGTTTGAGACACTGACCTATCATTGTTAGTTTGCATTTCAGTCCTACAGTGATTATTGTGGTTGATGTGAAACTCTGAATAGCAGCTATATTTAGTTGATGTTATAACACACTCAAACACACAGTGTATCTTTAAAAATGTATATATGCATAATCAGACATTTTCAACACTTGTGACAGCGTATCATTTAAAAGTAAAGCTTATAATATTTTTTTCTTTTTATCTTTTGATAATGTGAATTGTTAATTATAAAAGAGTCATTTTTAATTTATGATGACAACCAAATGTCTACAGATTTAAGACATTCAGTACAATGTCTTGCATGCTTTTTTTGGCTGGAAATAACTTTGTTCCTCAACTACTGTAAATTTTCATATTCCTAATCTCACTTAAAGACAAATTTTCATTGTCTAAATATAAAATCCAGCTGTTTTTCATTTTTAAGTTAATATTTTTCTTGAAAAAGAAATTACAAAATAGAATGATATACTGATGAAAAGGGTGCAGATTTTGGTAGACATTTTATTTGTTGCTTCAAATATGTGTTGATTTGATTCTTTAATTTTTTTTATAATTTTAAATCAAACTAAATTTTTTTTCCTATTTTTAGAATTAGTAAAACATAAGATAAAAAAAGTTATAATTTTCAAGGATTTTTTTAAATTAGAAAAGATGTTTAAATTTAATTTCAACTTAAGCTGACAAAGTTTTCTTGTGTTCAGCTGTTTAACTGATCTGAATTTATTGGTTCAAAGTTGAATTTGAATGAATAGACAAAAAAAACTGTCAATTAAATCAGAATTTTAATTCCTTTAATTTGACACTTGTTTGTTTTTTTTTTTTTTTTTTTTTTTTTTTTTTTGTTAAATTTTACAAACTTAGGTTAGCTTCTCAGAATTTATATTCTTTTTATTTAAAAAAGAATGCATTTGCTATGTATTTATTTCCCAGTTATGTTCAGAGTTAGCATTTGAATCCAAGTTTTAAAAAAAGAATGTTTCAATTTCAATAGATTTGAGGCAATGTGGGTTTAACCTTTTAAAAAATTAATGTAGAACTCTCACTACTCTCTTGCCCAACTCCTGGTAGATATTGCAACTTATCAGTGCAAAAATACCTGCACATATGTTTTCTGTTAGTATAAGTAGCAAAATTGTATTTGTTCCTGGCTTGCTAGGCCTGTCACATAGCTTACAGCACCTGGTGTTCCCCAGTTGTCAACCATCTGAATATTAACCAGGCTCAGCATTGTCTAACTTGGATGACTACCAATGTTTTAAGGTGTTATGGCTACAAGCCTATTATAGTATAGCACTATATCGTCCATTTGGGAAACAGTAAAATTATGGAAATCGACTGTTATGTAATATCAGTCCTTTTATGTGGCAGTGAATACTGGACAATCTTGTCACAGATGAATAAGAGACTTGAGGCAACAGAAATGTGGTTCTACAGAAGGATGCTGAGAATACTATGGACTGAACATGTGAGCAGTGACAAAGTTTTAAAGAAAATGGAAACCAAAAAAAAGACGCTTATACTTACTATATGAAAATGATAGTTGAAGTCTCTGGAGACATAATAAGAAAAGGAGGCTTGGAAAATTTGATATTCACAAGACATATTGAAGGTGAGAGAAACTGAAGAAAACAGTGCATAACCTACACAGCAATTTTGTATTAATGGATGGTAGAACAGGGTTTAGAATATATAACAAAGACAGAATTTACTAAGAGCTACAAAGGATAGGAAATTGAAGAGCCATGATTGCCATTGTCCTGAGGAGGCATGGTATATAGAAGAGATTATCTATCATAGTGTACTGATTAGAAAATTGGCCACACAATTTGAGTGGCTCTGGTTTTCATTCTTGTTGGAATACATCACTACTGTGGCCTTGTACCATATGTAGTCAAGAACTTAGATACATCACCATGGAGTAGTTCTTGCAAGCTATTATAACTGTCATTTGTTTGGTCTTTACTGGGTGTCTCACACTTGTACTCAGTTAAGTTAATCACAGACACTAGGCAAACTAGATACTGTACTAGTATTATGAGATTGATCTTTATAGAATGGCCTTGAACCAGACTATCCTAAGCTTAGTTTATCATTCATATGCACTGACTGTTGGACATGAATTGTGATTAAATCTTCTATTTATTCTCACAGGAGGCAAACATTGATAACCTTATAATAGTATTGGATTTCACATTAATTTTATCTTTTTCTCAAGCTTAAAAAAATTGGATATCAATAAAAAAGGGATTGATTTAAAAAATGTTTGGAGGTTGAGAAATTTTTGATGATTGGATTGCGCAGTCAGCATGACTTTACTGTTTACTATTCATAGGACCTCACTGACCAGACCATGGTCAATATTTGTTACAGACCTTATTTAAATGTCTTAAAATGATTATTTTAATTTAAATATCTAATTTGAAAACAAACTCGACAAAAAGACAATTAAGATCATGTAAAAATTTCTGAATTAACTATTCAAGTTAATATAGACAATTTCTTTACGCCAAAATACGTGTAACATGAGTTGTAAGTTTAAAGTTCAGTTTTGAACTTTCCAACTGAACCTACAGAAGAATTGTCTATATTTGACCAAGTGCAGGTAAACTTATTATCTAGAGCATTCAACTCTTTTCTGCATGTTTTCTGTGGGTTTTTTTTTGTTTTGTTTTTGTTTTGTTAATGAGTCATCCTAAAATCCCAAAACATAATTTTATATTCTGTATATTTGGCTTCAAGTTATTTCCAGTGTGAAAAATGTTTACTCAAAAGCCTGGGGAATTTGAACAATATGCTTAACATAAAGGTCACTTTTTCTTGGTCTAATGTAAAAGTCAAATTTTTGGAACTAGTGTGCAAGCAATGAGATGACTTCAAAGTTATCTTCTGTAGTTCCTGTTTTTAAGAACACTGGATAACTTTCTGATCCCTTTAACTATTGCTGATTAATCTCCTACCACTTTCCAACAAAGTATTTGAGGCTATAATCAATGCTGAAGTGGTTAATCATCTTAACTCTCATGACCTACTCTTGGACAAACAATATGGCTTCTGTTTTGCCAAGTCTACCTCTGATGTACTAACAGCCATCACTGAATATTTATATCAAGCTCTTGATAATAACAGTGAAGCTCAAGCTGTAGCTCTAGATATCTCCAAGGTTTTTGAGAGGGTTTGGCATGCTGGTTTTCTACGCAAGCTTCAGAGCTATGGTAGTAAAGGACGATTGTTTGATTTCATCCAATCATTCCTGTCAAATCAGAAAATGAAGGTCGTTCTGAATGGGCTCACTTCCAGAACCTTTCACATGAACACTGGTGTCCTCCAAGGCTCTATCCTGGGTCCTATGCTGTTTCTGATCTTCATCAATGATCTTCTTAATGTCATCAGTTCCCAAGTAGTCATTTATACAGATGATGCTACCATTTCTTCCAGTCTCAGTAGCAAATCTCTCAGAGCTGACAAAGGTAACCTGGCTGCTGCTCTTGAAAAGGACTTCCAATCAGTAGTTAACTGGAGCAGAAAATGGCTTGTAAATTTTAATGCCTCCAAAACTAAACTGCTCTCATTTAACCACCATAAATGCCTGACTCTTCGAGAGCATCCTCTTGTGCTGTCTTAGTCTTATGTTTCCAACTGACTTGAAGTGGAACAACTACATTGAATCCATAGCTGCATCTACTGCAATGAAAGTTGATTCATTGTGTCATGCCTGAAGGTTTTTCTTATCAGTCAATCTTGTGTATGTACATATCTACTATTTTGCCATGTATTGAATACTGTTGCTGTATCTGCTCTTTTAAGATTTTTTTCTTCATTTGTGATAATATTGGAGATAACTATTCACCTTTATTTTCTTCATTTCTATACCTTTATACTTTGCTCAGTTTCTGACGAGCATCTTTCATTATTACTATGCATTTTTGGACTTCTGTTTTATTTTTCTTATCTTGATTCTAATGTCTCCAATGTGTAACTCACACTTTCACCTGTCCATTTTTGCTTAAAGTGACACATGTGGTTCAAATGACAAATGTTGATTACCACAGACGACGTGTATGACAAAAGAATGTTTAAGAATAGGAACTACAAGGAAACTGGTAATAGCAATTGGAAAAAGACATCTTAAATCCTTGGGACATGTAAGGAGAAAATAAACCTTGAAGACATTAACACTTTAAAGACATATCGAAGTTGACAGAAGCAGAGTAAATTTTCAGGTTATCTACTTGGCAAGTTTGAATAAATGGATGGACAAACATTATTTTTCAGAAGAATAAGATAGGAAGCTGTGGTGGGCCATGGCAGTTCACATCTTGAAGAGGTATAGCACAGAGTATATTTGGATAGCAAAGGGACCAGTGGAAAATCTGATCTGTTCATTCAAATATCTGTGTGTCATGTCCCTTCAGAACGTGGGTGATCATTGCTCTCCACAACTTCCTATCTTTTTTTTGCTCTTAGTAATGTTTGTCTTTTAATTATTTCTCCCATTTACATAAGCCTGTACTTGATGCTTTCCTCTCTCTCTTTTACAATGTCTTGTGAGTGTCAGATTCTCCATCCTCATGATGTTCTCTAGAAATTTTAATTCTTTCTTTCTTGTTCTAATATGAAGCATCCTTTTTGCTTCCATTTTCTTTCAAACTTCATCATTATTCGTATGTACAGTCCTTCGTATTTTCAGCAGCCTTCTGTTGAAATACATTTCTGTTGATTCAAGTCTCTTCTTGATCTGTGTGGTGATTGTCTAACATTTGGCTTATGTCATTATCATGTTGAAACACCAATTTTCGTTTGATCACCAAAGTTAAGCAGTGTCAAGCCTGGTCAGTACCTAGATGGGTGACCACTTCAGAATACCAGGTGCTGCAAGCACGGGTGTGAGGGTGGTGTAATGGATAATGGCTTAAAATTTGAAATAGGAGAGTTGACTATCAATTCCAGTTGGGTTCATTATGTTCACTTAGGTACAATCACCTTTGGGGAAAGATATGACTTCATCTCTTCTCTCCCCCAGTTATAGGTTAATTAGTAGGACTTGGATCAGTAAAAATATCTCAAAAAACATTCTTACAATCTAAACAAAAATTATTTTCTGCCTTTAAATAACCTGCAAAAGGTTGATAAATCATAAAATATCTATAACATGAATCTACCAGAGCATTTGATCTGAGAAATTGCATTACATTAATATTTATTATCAGAAAATAAAAGAAGAAATAATCTTTATTATTTGATATACTATCCCTGTTTCTATAGTTTGAATATCATCAAGATATGTAGCAAATAAATTTTGGGCATTCAGTCACTTAATTTTCCAACAAATAGAATCTAGATGAGATTGGATTGTTACACCTTTTGTATTAGGGCGGATTTTAGCATTCAGCCATGATCGTTTGATTCTTTGAGTATTGGTTCAATCTGTGTCGTAAATAAAGTCAAGTCATAATTATTATAAATCTGTCATAAAATTTTTATATCACCTTGTAAATTATTTCTGATCAAATGCATCAATTGCTTTTATATTATTTTCATTATTTTTAAAAAATACACCTGAGTAGAATTGCGCATATAGATCAGATTCTTAAATGTAGATCACATGCTGAAGAATTATTCTGCATTGACAGTATATTTATCTACCAAAGTTACTCACAGAAAGTCTTTTTTACTGAAATAAAACACCCCCACCAGCATCTCCTTGACCAGAAGCTCCTAAATGCTTTCAACATAAGCAAAGATTGGAATAATTGAATGAATGAATTTGAATATTTTCACTTTGGCAATTACCATAGTGAAGATTTCCACTTCAAAATAAAGTGCATATGTAAAAATTTTTGTCACAAAGTAGACTTAATCGTCCGTCCCAGTTTCAACAGAACAGTCCCAGTGATATAAGCTATCAGTATTTGTGTGTGCATGTCCATTCTGAAGTTAAGTGGGTGTTAAGACACTTATTATGCAAGAAAACTAACTTTATAATAGAAATTGGGGACTGTCCCAGTTGGAAGCTTGGAAATTATGGTAAGCTGAGCACAAAGCCAGTATTGTATAGCAATAAGTTATGCACAGTCTTCAGTGATCACTTGTTAGACAAGCATATTCGCCATTTCAATAACCTCATGAAGTCTAGTCATGTCTCCTTAGCTTTCTCAAGTTTTAAAATTTTTTTATTTGTTTCAATACCTCTACTCACCTGTTCATTGTACGTGATGCAGTTGTAGATTTCTCACTGGTGCCAGTGGATATGCTCAAAGTGCTTGCCAATATCCAAAATTAGGAATGTGTTTCAATAGTAAGTAGATATTTTAAATTTATTATGAAGTTACAGTTTAGTTTTTAGGTGAATGTGATTTAAAACTTGTACATATGGTAAAATTTTCATGCTTAATTAGTTTTCTGACATGTCAGATTAAAATTCTTAAATTTCTTGACTGAATGAACTTGAAATGTGATCTTGATGTCAAAAATCATCTAGAAAATATACATGTTTAGCAGTATGAAATATACATGTTTAGCAGTATGAAATATACATGTTTAGCAGTATGAAATATACATGTTTAGCAGTATGAAATATACATGTTTAGCAGTATGAAATACAATTATGCAGCCAATATAAAGGAGGATGTCCTTTGGAGGTAGACAATTGGTAAACACAATATGCTGTATTTGATGAGGAGGGTCTCCTTTGGAGGTAAACAATGCTGAGGATCATTAATTCTAAGAATAGTTTGGCCTATTCAAACTATATGGACACTAAAACTGGTTCTGTTAATAATGGTATACAAGACAAAGAAATAGGCAAGCAAATAATAACCTTTTCTTTTTTTTTTCCTAATTTACAATCACAAAATCTTATTTTCAATCTAAATATTATGGTTTTTCATCAGTTTCTTGTTTGACCATTTTGCATCAGTTGGAGACATTTGGCTGCTTCCCATGTCTTGCTACAAGATGATATTGACAAAATAATAGGAACTTTTAGAATGCTAAGTATTGAGTCATACCACACTATTTATTAATGGGTCATCTTCAAAACTCATTTGGAATAGTTTCATCACTGTAGAGAAATTTCTGCAATCACCATTATTGTTTTTTTTTTTTTTTGTTTTTTTTTTTTAGGTAGCTAATGGGTCCTTCTCCAAATAAATCTTTAGTTAAATTTTTTGCATTTGAGCATCCATACCTTATTTGTTATATATATATATGTATGTGTGTGTGTGTATATATATATATATATATATATATATATATATATATATATATATATAATCATATTTGTTATAAGCTATAATGTTTAAATGAAGTTATTACTCTCTTATATTTTCTATGAAGCTTAGTGAGTTTTTTCTACTTTAGCGCTGAGGTGACTGTTTATTGTGAACCTGGCGATACATCAAGTGATCAGCATTCCAAGTTGCTTTACTTCACTTTTGCTTCTCTAAGATAACTTGCAGTTTTATTATGGAGTAAGAAAGAAAAATGTAGAAATTAAGGATAAAGAATTATCAACAGACACATAAATTTTCTTGATTTTGTAAAACTCTGTCCTGGACAACAATCTGTAAAGAAATTAAGATAAGGAAATTTACAATGTTGTTGTTGTATTTGCCTCAATTACTAAAGTGCATAGTAACCTGTCTGAAAGTTTATAAAGTTTTATAACAAACACAACTTAAAAAAGGAACACACATCTTCAGTAAAGTTTATTAAGAAATGTTTGTATGTCTTAATGATTTTTTACTCTTAAACTAATGTCCTAACTTTTGTAGTTGTCATCACTTTTTAACCATTGTGTTCTCTGGTCTTCTTCAGGTAGGTTTCAATTCAAGTTACTATAAAGAAATTTCAAACTGAACAATTTATTTAATCAATGTGGTAGATTGTTTTACAGTCCATTTCTAGGAATATCTCACAGTGCTGAAGAAGGTTGGATAGCACAATGGCTGAAATATTGTAATAACAGATTAGGGCATTAGTTTAACTGTAATAATATAAAAAAAATAACTCCCTATTCTAGGAACTCGTGTAGGAATTATTAACAATACATTGTTTTCTTGTATATGTGTATTTTCCTTTTTTTTTCTACCAGATGTTTCTTTGACATTATCAGTCCATTGTTTAAAACTGCTTACTTGCAAGACTAATAGAAATTACACAGGTTTTGAGAGTTAAGATCTCTACTCTTGGCTTAAGGTCTCTACTCTTGGCTTACTCTTTGCCTGTATCTTCTCAGTCTCTTCCTTATCCATTCTAATCTGTTTCTTTGTTGTTGTTGTTTTTTTTTGGTTTTTTTTTTTAATAAAAACAAGGTTTTAATTTGTATTCAAAAATGGGATAAAAAATGTGCAAATATTTTTTTTTTTTTACTGCATCTACTCTTGTTTTTCTTTTACTCTTTCTATAATAAATTTTCATAATGAAAATTTTGATTTCTTTCCATTGCTACACATATTTTAATGTTTTTTTTAAAATCATTTCACATCCAAGCAAGGCAATAAAGCCATAAGTATGCAAGGGATTACTAACAGTGAAAGAAACAGGAGACCATATAATAGGATTCAAGGAGACAGTCGATGATGATGATGATTCACAATGCATTTAAATTTTTGAAAATCATAGTTGACAGGAAAGCAGGAGGCTGGTAGAGAGTTCCACAACCAAAGAGTGAGAGAAAAGAAACTTTTAGCTTTGAATTTGTGATCACAACTAGCAATTTCAACAGTGAAATTGAGACCTAGTTGTAAATATAGTACTGCGCTTAAATTCGTAAACTCAAGGTACCAAAGAGGAGAGCTCATCAAAAAAAATTACCATAAAAACATTTATAGAAAATGTACAGGGGACTATGATATTGTGGTGGGAAAGCACAACATTGCAAAACATAATTTCCTAGCAACAAACTTAGCAAATGATTCAACATAATGATTCCACTTCATGTCAATGGAAAATGTAAATCGAAGAAGACAGTGAATTGCTCTCCAATTGGTTAGATTCAGCAATTGCAAATGGAAGTTAAAACAAGGTTCTTTATGATGATTAATAGAGCTGTTTCATTTTAGAGATTTTTGAAATTAACAAGCCACTGCTTATACCAACTCAAAATATTCTTGCTCATTTTCAAGATCAACTGCCAATTTGATTTTATTGAACCTATCAGACTTGCTATTAAGATGAGTAAATAAATGTGTCTTCCACAACCAAGTCAGGAAATGATGACATCAGGAAAGTTGCTGATGAAATTAAAGGAAAAATAGTGGAGGCACGGTCAAGTAATGGATAAGGGCTCGGATTGAGGAATCAGAGCTGAGTTCGAATTCCAGTTGAATCCATTACATTCACTTACGTGCTAATACCCTTGGGAAAGGTATGAATCCTCTAGACTGGGTTGTATAGCCTTTGATGGCCACTGGTCTACTGCAGAAAGAAATGGAAACCTACTGCAGGAAAAAATCTGCCTCATCAGTCATGTAGCGAGATATGTGATTGCCTAGGTGTGTACCACACACAGCACATAACTGAGGGAGTACAAAAATTGAACCCTGGGAGATGCTTGCATTAAGTCAAAATGATCTGGAGGAGTGGCCATTTAAGATCAAATCAAAGAAATGGCCAGAAACATCATAAACCTTCAACTCATGAAAACCAGCATGTCAAACCCTATCAAATTCCTTAGAAATATCTAAAGCAACAGACTGAGCTTTACCATTCTTCTAAAATCTTTTAGTAAAAGCCATTGATATATTGGCAGTTGGCCTAAAGAAGCAAAAGCCATATTTTTTATCTGAAAGGAAACTGTCTATATTTCTGCAATGAGGTATTATGTACTGAATTTACCTTATTCAGAATATTTTCCTCATCTTTGTCGCCATTTTT